TACCACCCAGTGGATACCTTGTCTGATACAAACCACCTGAACTGGTGCTACAGCTGGCTGGTGCTTGCTCACCAATGCTCATCAAGAGTGACCTGGGCCAGCAAGAAGAGGCTGCAAAGCTCCCCCTTCACAGAGGGACTTTCACTTCTGAGCAGAAAAGAAACAAGTCTGGAGGTTAAAGGGATCTTTCTGCGGGTTGTTTCTCCACACATCTCAGAAGAGCAGAAGCTTTGGGGCTCCTCTCCCACAACCTGCACAGACCTACTCCACCTCATCCCATCCATAGACCTCTTGGAACTGGGGAAAAACCTTCCCCTGAGAAGGCCTGGCATTGCTTCCTGAGCCATTGTGTCCTTTGGAGTTTCTGGATTAGCAGCAGAGCTTTTGTCCATTGACAACTTTTTTGGGGGGAGAGCATACAGGAGCCCTCCTGAGCAGCAGCCATAGCACTGGCAGTGACCAAGCTCTTGCCAGTGGGACCCGCAGTCCTGGGAAGGGGAACCACCCCATCCCTCTCCCTGGCTCGCTCTGGCAGCAGCCATGACATCCCACCTTGCCCCTGCTCCACACCACAAATGCGTAGTAGCCACACAGCAGAGATGCGGGCACTGAGCAGACGTCTCTGGAGGGACACCAGGGCCGTTGCCAGCAAGATCTTGCTCCTGAGGTCCCTCCTCTAGGATCCCCATTGCAGCGCATCTCCAATCTCTATGGGGAGGTGGGTGCTGAGTCTTACCCACTCCCTGCTCAGAGCAGGGGCAGGGGCAGCACCATGGGGTGCCTTGGAGAGGGGCAGCTGGGCACACACTGGGAGCAGGAGGCCAAGGGGCTGGGGAGAAGGCCTTCTCAGGCACGGCAGCAACAGCTCCTCTGGGGAACGAGGTCAGCAGGAGGCTCAGGCCATTCCATTTGGGTTTGTATTTTTTAGCATACCTCAAGCTAGCTACAGCGTCCCACAAATAAGTCACATCAGCTTCTCTGCTTTCATTTCAGATGCCACCACAGGCATGCAGAGAACACACCGGAGCTGCAGGTGGCAGATGATGATCTCTGCAGGGTTTAGGTTGCTCTGTGCAGCCGCAAACCTTCAGAGTGCCATTTTACAGTTACCACAACCGAACTCGTTCTGGTTTTGCTCCTCCTGGGCAGCTGAGTGTCCATGACCACCCAGAGCTGTTTTGCCTGTGAACTGCCACGAGATGGCAAAATACTCGCCAGCGTGGCTCCCAAGCATCGCAGGCTGGAGCTGTGGCTGCGGGAGAAGAGAAACCGGGAATATTTCCCTGCCCCTGGGATTACCTGCTCCTTGGCATGTCCCGGGGTGCCTCTCCATCAGCCTCCGGAGCCAAGAGCTGCTCCTTGTCTCTGGTCCACGGAATTCCGAGGCAAAGCATGCAACTGCTCCCATCAGGGATGAAACACCCAAAAATATCTGGCTGCTGACTAGGCCTTTATACCGTGATATCAAGGAGGCACGAAGGTAACCTGCACTTGCTATTGTGCTGTCCTTAGCCATGACTGGTGAACAAAACCCTGCAATGGAAGAAGGCTCAGAGAAGATAGACAAGGATGGCACACTCATGAGGCTCAGGTAAGAATGCAGGAAGTGGCCGCAGCTATTGTAAAGGATGCTGAACTTAACACCAAGGAGATCAATGGGTGACTTTTGTTGTGGATAAATGGCTGCATCATTTGAGTGGGTTAACTGGTTATGTAAATGGCCTTCCCTAAAATAAGTAATAGAAAGTATAATCTTCCTGAGCCAGCGAGACCAACGTGAGAGGAGTGTATACATGGCTCAGCCCAACAGTCAAACAACCAACAAAATGGACTTTGAACAGAGCAATGGGCTTGAGCTGGCTTCAACCCACCTATGCCTTCCCAGTGTCTGGGGATGCCCAGCATCATGACAGTGCAACATATAGTGGCTGGTAATGAGAATCATGTTTGTATTGTGGTTCACCTGTATATTGTGATTGCTATATTGTGCTTCTGTTATGATTTCAGTGCATTGCTGTATCACTCTTCAAAATTAAAACCCCAGTAATGTCAAAAATCTTCAAATAAGTAAATCTGATATTAAAACATTAAACTCTCACGCGGAATATCTAAAAGAGTATTGGACCAGAAAATCTGCCTGCAGTAAATACTTCAGGAAGTGAAAGGAAATGAAGCTTTTACTGCTGCTGCCTGTAAGTACCAGGTGGGTGCCTGGAACAGGTGAGATCTCTGACAAATGTGCCCACCACCACTCACAGAACTCACTCTCACTCCCTCCCCAGCCAGGCAAGCCCTGCTCCTGGCTGAACAGTTTTTGTGTGTGCTGAAGCATATTAATTTACACAAGGTGTCCTTCCACCAGCATAGAACACTGGTGCCAGGTTATGACCGGCAGGAAGAGACTCCAGTGGACTGTCAACATGCCACTGAATAAAATCAAGCCTTACTGACCTGATGCGGCCTCCAGTAGAGCGTTATGTTAGGTAATGTACACGTATGTACAGACTTTGTGTTTCTCTTTGTTGTGTTCCCCAGATGCTGCTGCTACCCAGTGGAACTGATGCTCTTCTCAGTCCAACAGCTGCTGAGAACTGAGATCCCTAGGAATTATGTCTTGCCTTCAAGCCTGGCTGCTTACAGATCTGAAGTTTATGGCAGTCTGCTTCACAGGTCTCCCTAGGAAGTTCAGGTTTCTCAGTTTTCATATAATTTAAACATCAATCCCTTAGGACCACCTCTTGGCCTCCTCAGAAGTTCAAATGTGAGGGGTGTTTCAGCTGAAGCAGTTTGGGATGAACAAACTGACACTGTTACTCTGTTTTGTAACTCTTGCTACTAACGAAATATTTGGATGAAATATTTAATTATAGAAATCTCTTTCAAGGTAATTAGTGATAAAAGTGGGAAAATTATTCCTGGTTTTGTTGTTGTTGTTGATTTATTATTATTATTATTATTACTATGCACTGCTATTTCATTTGTTAAACCAGTTAATATCTATCTGGATGACTTAATTTTCTGAGCTGACTTATGTCACTTTCTGCTAACAAAAGGGATGGAGCAAAAAGTAAAGAGACTAAAGGGTCGTGTCAAATGAAACTCTTTAAGCTTCCCACACTCCCAATACATATTATTCCTATTTGTTTCTTTTAAAGTAAACAATAATAAAAATTACTATAAAAGCTTCTTAGTGTCCTAACACATAGTACTTTAGTACTATGAGAAGGATTCTCAGAAGCTTTCAATGATCATACAAACAGAGCCAGTCAACTACCTGTGAAAGAGTTTATTTTCTTGCACTGTTTTCAAATCCAGCTGTCAGCAACCTCCAAAACACTCATCAGGCTTGTTTGTTTTCCTAAAAATATTGAAGGGAATGAGACACGGACTCCGCATATGAGTTCAGGCAAAGACAAGCGAAGACCCTTTATTTTTACCATCTATCCCTTTTATAATATGATCTAGTGTTCACGAGCAAGCAAAACTTATTTCATTGGCTACTCTCTTTCGTCCACGCGTCTCTTCAGCATTACTTATTGGTTCTTCAAGCTGGTGCACGCGACTTTTCTCTTTCAGAAACGTATCTAATCACATCCTTATTTTGCTGCCTCTAAGTTTTTGCAAACTTGTTTGTAACAAGCCTCAAGAGCACAGCTGCATCCCTTCAAACCTGTTTGTAACAAGCCTCAAGGGCACAGCTGCATCTCGTCAAAGTCAAACACAGCCTCATTTATTCCCACAATTCCTCCTTTTTGTTTTTCTGCCCCAAAAGCTTGTTTACTTATTATAGTAATTAAAAAAAAGATCACAAATCCACAACACTGTTTACAGACGGGACAAAGAGACACTCCTGGTCTCGAACAATGGACACAAACTGCTCTCACGTTCACGTGGTGGTCATTCCCCATCAGTCTTCTTGGAGTTCATTGTCTTCTGCTGCTCGTTCCTGTTATCCCATGCAAGAGCCAGTCTTACGCACCTTGGAGGTACCCACTTAGGTCCTACATCTGTTGAGACACAAGCAT